AGGAGGAGGGAGGGAGAAGCAGGGAGTTTAAAGCGCTGGGGCCAGAGGAGGAAGGAGGGCGGAGGCTGTACCATGTGAAAGCTTGGCAGAGCCCCCGAGCTGTGCATCCTCTGGGCACCAGTATTTAACTTCCCTCTTCCTGCCGCAGCACCCAAGCTCAGGCAGTTAGGATTGAGCCAAAGTGGGGGAGTAAAGCTGGACCAAGCCAGTGGCCAGGCTGGGGCCTCCCTCCTTGGCACAGGAAGAGAGATCCAAGCCCTTGTCACTCAGAGGTACAGGGGAAATGCAGGGGTCTCCCAGGATCAGGTTTACCTGGCCTGTGGGGGCCATAGCTTTCTGGGAGTAGATACAGAGGACCGCAGGGAGGGGGCTCCCTGGGGTGGAGGCCAAGCCTCAGTGCCCTCTCCGCCTTCCCTTCCTCAGGCAGGGGAGTTCCTGCGCCTCTGGAAACAGTTCAGTGACATGGGCTTCCAGCAGGACCGGATCAAGGAGGTGCTACTGGTCCATGGCAACCACCGTGAGCAAGCCCTGGAGGAGCTGGTGACCTGCGCCCAGTGACCACTGGAGCACTCTGCATCCCAGGCATCCCAGACCTGTGCTAAACCTGGCAATCCAATCTAACTGTAGGCCACATAAGATTAACAAAGCGATACATACTCATTGTAAAAATGCAAACAATGCCAAGGGTGGGAGCAAATACCATCAGGGGGCAAAACTTCACCCATCTTAGCTTTTCAGCTAGACCCATTAGCAAGAGAAAAACAGTTTATTAATACATGCAGCACACATCACATGGGAGAAACCTCAGTGAAAAGTAACTCAAAGCAGCAGTTTAGAACTCTGGCTTACGTGGCATCGACAAAGCACATATTTGTAGAGAGAGAACAGGACAAAGGAAATCAGTTTTAGGCTTCCAAAAAATGACAAACTGTTGGAAGGTAAATATATGGGAGGGAACTCATGGAGTAAGGGTCATTTGAAGATTCCTCTGGCACATCTCTGGGAAGATAAGACTCTATCTCAAGAAAAGGAGAATTTGTATTCTGCATTTAGACAGAAAAGGGAGAAGGGTAGGGAAAGCTTGTCCTGCATTTGCTGCTGCTTAATTGCCTCTGGCTCAAAATAATTTTTATGTCAAAGAGGCATATTTTGGGGTAACATTCTGGTTTCCTCAACACCCAAAGAATCAGCCAGAGGAGTCAAAGGTGGTACCTGTGGGGAGGGGCAGGTGGGAGAGCATGGACAAGGAGCTGTGTTTTCTCATACAAGCCCTGTAAAACTACCTTTATTTGACTCTAAACTGTGTGCATTAGTAACTTTGATTTTAAGAAAATTAAAACAAAACAAAAATAATGGCTTCTTTTGGTTCCTACAGGCTCCTGGTTTTATTGTCAAATGAATATCGAACTGTGGGTCCAAAGATCTAATTTCTGGTTTTGGTTCTACTGATGACTGACTCAAGGCTTCTTTGGGCCTCAGTTTCCCCCGGAAAAGTAGAAATTGGACCTGGCTGCTATTCATAAGAATCCCCTGGGGAGTTTGTTAAAGAGTCCCAGGCCCTACTCCTGGACCATCTGACTCAGAAAGTCCATCTTGGTAGCCCCTAGGGATCTGTTTTGTTTTTATAAGAAGCTCTCTGGGATTGTTTTTTTTAAATCTTTTTTTAAAAATTGTTGTTTGTTATTGTTGACCCCCTTCGCCCATTTCTCCCACCCTCCACTCCTTAGCCCCACCTCTGGCAACTGCTAATCTGTTATCTGTATCTGTGAGCTTGGTTTATTTATTTTTAGATTTCACATATGAAATCATATGGTATTTGTCTTTCTCTGATTTATTTCATTTAGCATGCTGCCTTTGAGGTCCATCCATGTTGTCACAAATGGCAAGATTTCATTCTTTTTTATAGCTGAATAATATTCCATTATACATATGTATTACAATTTCTTTATCCATTCATCTATTGATCTGTTGGCTATTGTACATAATGCTGCAATGACTTTGGGGGTGTATATATATTTTTGAGTTAGTATTTTCTTTCTTTGGGCAAATACCCAGGATTAAGATTGCTGGATCATATAGTAGTTCTATTTTTAATTTTTTGAGGAACCTCTGTACTGTTTTCCATAGTGGCTGCACCAATTTATATTACCACTAGCAGTGCACAAGGGTTCCCTTTTCTCCATGTTCTTGCCAACATTTCTTTCTTGTCTTTTTTTTTTTTTTTTTT